GTTCCGTTTTCCTTATTTTTTACTGGGCGCGCCCCACCTCTCACTACGTTCGGTTTCTGACATGTAATTCTGAACTTCTTCAAGATTGCTACAACCATGAGAAAGGTCAACATGGCTCCGAGTAAAATCACAGAAGCCTCTACACTAACCCCCCAAAATGGCAACATTCCCAAGCCAAAGTCCAGAAAAGACATACCTCTCCGAATCGTACCTCCCTGCAGTTCTGAATCCTCCTTGTTGCCAAGGGGTCTCCTATGGTGCTGACGATGACGAGGTCAATTTTCCGGGTTTCGGCACCAGATGTCCCGCGCTAACCGCCTCGCCAGCAAAAACGACATGCGGACACGCCTCAGGATCCTTCTGCAGTAAAGCTTTAATGCCTCTTGAGAGGAAGGGCATTAGCTTACAAAATGGAGACCCTGAACGCCCGAAAACCCCTCCTTATATAGGCTGGCAACCGTCGCCTCAGAAGTGTTACATTCTGACTGGCTGAAACCCTCGGACCATGTGACGTCAGCTGATCGAACGATATGATGTCACGGGAGGGGTGGAGACTAAGGGCAGGAAAGTTACAAATTTACCCATTGCGCATGCGCACAGCTTCCAATGGCTCCTTACATACGCACCGGCTCCTAACACCACTCTGCTCCCCTAAGGGAGTTTCCCAATGGAGGTGTATGTTGATTCTCTGCTTCACTACACTAGGGAATTTCACATTCACTCTGACAAAAGAAGGTCATGACTGAAAATGATGAACGAGATTCATTTGAGAGGGAGGAATTCAGGAAAGTAGCTCCTACTACCATTGTGGAAAATGGTAGATTCCATCTGAAAAACCACAGAGTTTGCATATGATATTTTTCATTTCATGCTCAGTTTTCTTTGTCTTTTATTTCAGTCTCAAAGTGTGTTTCTTTCACTGGCCCTTTTTTTCCATTTGTCTTATTTCAGGATGTGTTACTTTGGCTCCAGCTATAGGGCCAAAATGATTTTCTCTCATTGGGTCTGGTTTCTGGATGGGGGGGTTGTTTCCTTGCCTCGCCATTTTACAGTACAAATATGGCTTCATAAGTTCATAAACTCATTTTTCCATGAGTATGCTGCAGCAACAATATAAAAATGGACATCATAATGTTTGCACAGATTGTTGACACTGTCAAATTACTGCTACAAAAGAAATATTGTTGTGTAATTGACTTGGAGTGTGGTGGCTAAAATTCTACCAAATACGTGATAATGAGAAACCCTCACAATCTTTTTCAGATACTCAGAAATGATTGAAACTTGGAAAGGCTTCATCAGGGTGAATGCCTACAAAGTATGATCTTGTATGAAATGCAAAATTAAACCAAACTGACTAAATTTATAGTTTCACTGATGAATGTTTTTTGAAATGATTTCAAAGACTCCTGGGTATATGGAAAACCTTTTCCACACTGATTACCTTAAAATGGTTTTTATACAGTATGCATTATTTTATGGTTTTCAAAAAAACATTGACACACAAAGGCCTTTCCACACTGAATACAATCTTAGAGTTTCTTCCTATTATGTGTCCTTTTATGCACATGAAGTGAACTCAGATGAGAAAAGGCTTTACCACACTGATAACATTCATAGGGTTTCTCTCCAGTATGGCTCCTTTCATGTGTTTGAAGATGACTGTGCCGAGAAAAGGCTTGACCACACTGATTACATTCAGAGGGTTTCTCTCCAGTATGGCTCCTTTCATGTGTTTGAAGATGACTGTGCCGAGAAAAGGCTTGACCACACTGATTACATTCAGAGGGTTTCTCTCCAGTATGGCTCCTTTCATGTGTTTGAAGATGACTGTGCCGAGAAAAGGCTTGACCACACTGATTACATTCAGAGGGTTTCTCTCCAGTATGGCTCCTTTCATGTGTTTGAAGATGACTGTGCCGAGAAAAGGCTTGACCACACTGATTACATTCAGAGGGTTTCTCTCCAGTATGGCTCCTTTCATGTGTTTGAAGATGACTGTGCCGAGAAAAGGCTTGACCACACTGATTACATTCAGAGGGTTTCTCTCCAGTATGTGTCCTTTTATGCACATGAAGTGAACTCAGATGAGAAAAGGCTTTACCACACTGATAACATTCATAGGGTTTCTCTCCAGTATGTCTTCTTTTATGCGATTGAAGATGACTGTGCCGAGAAAAGGCTTGACCACACTGATTACATTCATAAGGTTTCTCTCCAGTGTGTGTCCTTTTATGCATTTGAAGAGTACTTTGTTGAGCAAAGGCTTTACCACACTGATTACATTCATAAGGTTTCTCTCCAGTATGTCTCCTTTTATGTATTTGAAGACTACCATTCTGTGAAAAAGCTTTACCACACTGATTACACTCATAAGGTTTCTCTCCAGTATGTAACATTGTGTATATACATAATTCTCCCCAGTTTGTCTTCCTTCATGCCTGCAAGGAAAATGGGCTTGTAAATGTTTTACCACATTCAATACAATGTTGAATCTTGATATCTGTATAAATTGTTATAATTTGTTGCAATTGTGCAGAAGAATCAGATCTTACAGGCTTATCACTGGTTTACACTCATGTTTTTCCCTACATTAAGTGTTGTTTTTCATCTTTGAAGAGGTTGTTTTCATCTTTGAACATACCAGTGTAGGTATAATGCTCTATTATATTTTTCTAATATTTAGAACCCTTTTTTACAGTTGATTTTTTAC